AGAAATCAGAAAATAACCGGGCCAATCAGTGACTGTGTTTCCACTGTTCCCAGGACAACAGGGAAAGGCAGCCCCTGATTGGTCTATGTGTAGATGGTGACGTCTAACACATGCTGCGGGACTTTTCAAAGCGCCGTTCATTCAGAACGCCGTTAATTCTGCAGTTGACTTTGCAAAATCGGCAGAAGAAGACGTAAAAGACATTGTTGTCACACTGCGCACTGTGATGACGTCAGATGTTTGGTTACGGTGATTGGTTACAGTCGTCTGTCTATCAAGGAAAGTACTCCCGCCCACTTTTAGGGCTCCCAAATGGCCGAAGTCCAGACTGTTGTGGGAAGGAACGGCAAGTGATTCACGCAACTGGATGGCCCAGCCAGGCTAAGAAGGTCCTGGGTTCGAATCCGGCTCAGGGTGTTTCTGTGTGGAGTTTGCTTGTTCTCCCTGTGTCTGCGTGGGTTTACTCCGGGTACTCCGCTTTCCTCCCACATCCCAAAAACATGCCTCAGTGAGGTTAGGTTAACTGGCCACTTTCAAATCGCCCGTATGTGTGAATGTGAGCGTGGATGGTTGTTCGTCTCTGTATGTCAGCTCTGTGATGAACTGGCGACTTGTCCAGGGTCACCCCTGCCTTCGCCCGAAGATGCTGGGATAGGCTCCAGCCCCCCCTGCGACCCCTAACGGGAATAAGCGGTAGAAAATGGAACTGAAGGTTACTCTCACTCTACTGCAGCTCATCGTCCTGCAGTCAGATACTCGCCCGAGTGTCTGAGACGCACATATGCCGCCGTCACCTCCGTCTCACCACAGATTTACACAGCCCGCTATATATTCAGTTCAGGTTTTTCCTCCAGCAGGCGCACGTCCAACAGCAGCCTGTGTGCCGGAGCCAAACTGCTCTTCAAAGACTCCTCAGCTGAGAGAAGGCAATACGAGACGTCAGCAGTAAATTAGAGTTAACATTACACAACAAGTCTGAACCGGTGCTTAAGCGTTTTCTGCCCAGTGACTGTAAATCAGCTTTTTTTACCGCTGTGGTGTATTTAGGCCTGTTTTGGTCCGGCTAATCTCTCCAGAGCAGCGGGACATTAAACTCACAAAGTAAAGGAGGATGCAGAACCAGAAAGAGCCTAAAAGTGCAAACTTGGACTAGCATGTGCAAAATGGATCAGTGCAAGTTACACGGCGCACAAACGAAACAACGGCAGATGCTCTGATACGGAATCCAAATTTAACTCTGTCCAAAGGTGTGACATGAAGACAGATCCAGATGACCTCAAATCTACAAAGGCTGCATGATCGTACTCGAGTTTTCTGTGATCCCTCTTACCGAGTAAGAGCAGGTTTGGATCCCTCTTCTTCCTCAAGTAAACAACCTCAGCGAAGACACTCCCAGTTAAGGCTGATCAAGATCATCTGGGTCAGCCAGAACAGAGTCTTTCAGCTGCCGAACGGTTCTTAGAGCTGGTTTATAGAGTTAAGTCCTTTCCTACAGACATATCTTTTGACTCATTTTGACAGGAGGATGAAGTAGTTTGCGATTAATCGAGAGTAAACTTTGGACAATCCTGATTAATCATATTAAATCAAGAGTAGCTTTAGAGAATTGTAATAAATCGAGAGTAAACTTTCGGAAAATCGGGATTAATTGCAATTAACCGAGAGTAACTTTGGACAATAGTTATTAATCAAGTATAAAACTTTTGGACAATCCTGATTAATTGAAAGTAAACTTTAGACAATCATAATTAATTGTAATTAATCAAGAGCAACTTTGGACAATCATGATTAATCGTGAGTACACTTTTGAAGTTTGTGATTAAATGTCTGACAGCCTGGCCAATGATGAAGTAATAACGTATAAACCGACTTGTGAAGTTCTCGGTGTCGCTGCAGAGCTAATTTCCTCCCCAGTCCACTCTTGACTGACAGCCGTCTCGTCTGAGATGGATGCGGAGTCTCGAAGAGCCCCTCGAAACCTGAAAACCTAAGAAGGAAACTTTTCTTCTTGCACTCCAGTCATGGCCTATCATTTTAATCCCATTTCATCTTGTTTGAAACCACATCTCATGGCGTGCAATTTGCAGGATCTTGAATGCGGAGCGTTTATCCGAATGCTGGAGGGCCGTCTCTGAAAAGACGATGAAAACTGAAGAGAAATCCAGCGTCTCACCTCCGTATACATCATCATCTCTGTGATGTTCGCCGCACTCCAGGATTTATTTTTGTGATCAAGTGGTGCAATTTACTCTCTGTGCACCCATTTATACCCCAACCGCTCTGTCTACTGCCACTTCAGATAGTAATTTTCATACATTTCCCAGAGTGCCTTTCAACAGCCACCAGTCTATTTGAGCAGAGCACGCACCCCCAAAATCTCTGCTGACTCCTCTTGAATCTTTAGATAACTTATATATTCATTTCATGAACCCACTGCCTGACATTTTATAGTCTTGTCTCCTTGGCAACCTTAAGCCAATCGCAATCAATTCTCACATTGGTTTTCTCCGGCCACAGCCGCCATCGAGCCCCTCTCTCTGCAAACAATGACTCTTGTGCTCGCTCCACATCCTTGTTTCAAGCCCTCACCCACCAGTGAAGGTCATTACTTATTTTATATCTGGCCTTCAGTGCGCAGACGTGCTCGTCCCTCCAACAAAAGAATCAATCACAGGTGGGATCAAAAGGAGGATATTCACTCTTTCAGAGGAGGTAATCAGGGCCAATCTCAAGAAAGAGTCGGAGAAACCAGAGTCAGAAATGAGAAGCATATTACGCTCATTTTCTCTCGCTATACGCCAAAGTGAGAAAATGTGCTTTTCAAATGGACTCGATTTAAAAAGGAACATTTGACAAGGCTATGGGGCTAAATGTTCAGGCAGTCAGAGCCGTATAATCACATTATCCACTAAAGCATCTGGAAAAGAGGAGAGGAGGAAACCTGAGTCAAACTAGAAACTGAAACACAATCACCAAGGTGTTAAAGAGCAGAGAGACCGCCCAGATTAGGTTATTTCTGCACACCAACGGTAAAAACAGAAAACAAGTCCAGGGGACCAGATTTTCAATCAGGAGCAGCCACAGGTAATCAAGAGGTGAGGTAGTTATCCACCGGTCTGAGAGAGGGAGGAAATATCGCTCTAAATACACCAAAGAAGAAGAAAAGAGAGAGAGAGTTTTACACATTAAGAGTAAAGAGAAGGAAATGTCTACGAATAGTGAATGAGTAAACGTGAAGAACAGCAAAGGAGCCTTCAAGAGTCGGTCATTTATGTGCACTTGTGTTGAGGACATTTCTCTCCTGAGGCTGTGAATGTTACTGACCAGATTTTATAGAAATGTGATTAAAACTTTCTTAGATACTTCTGCAGAAACCAGAAATTTGGCCAACGGGGAAAATGAGTTCGTCTGAAGTGATGGATGAAATTTACCAACATTGTCATAAGTATCCAGAAAACATCCACCTAGAGACTGAAACATGTTTTGGCGATGGTAAATGCTAAATGTCTGATCCAGAAATACGCACACGAGATAACAATCTCAGTTACAAGATTAAAAAGGACGTCTTTTAAGATTCTTCGTGAAAAAGTTTCAGTTTACTAGGAAAAGAGGTGGTAGTTCAGTGGATTTCAGAAAAATTAACTCAGCTTTATAATCTTTACTTTCTATATTTAAAAAAAGACTTTTCAGACTTTTTCTTTCACCTCGTAAATGAGTTAAAAAATGTTTTTTTTTTTTGTTTTCATTGTGAATCAGAGAAATGTGTTTTTTTTTCTGCTGAAATATGGAAACACGGTTGGAGAGAGATGTTCGCGGGACTTCCACCTCGCTGATCCTCCACCAACGCATGTTCCTCACAGCAGCTGTGCTGCAGTCACTGAGGAACATCAATTAATGCAACTGACTGCACCACAATAGTCGACTCCCACCGACTCAGAAGTTACTAATAGTTTATTGAAAAGAACCCGTCATCTGATTTGTGCAGGAAGATTCGTGAGCCGGAGTGAAACCAACTTTTCTGATCAAGGAAGAAAAGAGAAAAATCTGCAGAACCAGAGGATCGTTCACATTTAAGATGGAAATTAAAAAAGATGAACGTTCAGTGATAGAAAACCAGTAAACCCAGTATTGATGACGTTCCTAGCCCACCACAGGAGTCCCAACAGTGTCCTACTGTCAGGATTCTGCTGGTTTGGACACTTTTTTGGCTCTGTGGAGTGTTTTTTTAGTGTGGGATCCAAAAGTCATGAAGTGTTTCCTCTGTGACATGTCTCCACAGGGGGCGCCAGACTAGATTGAAATAGAAAGTTACCAACAGAAGCTTTAACAAAATTAGATATAATAAGTCAGCGATAAATCGTATCTTCTGGGCTTTGGTTTCATCCATGAAGAGGTTCTTCTTCTTCTTCTTCTTCATGAATCAGAGCGGCCTCCTTCACTCTGGGACTGAAGACTCTGTGAATGGAGAGGATGAAGATGTAATCTCAGTGATGAGACCACTCAGGACTTAATGAAAATGGACCCTCGTGTCTGCGTTTTATTTGCTCCACCAGAGACCGATCTCGGCGATTTGACAGCAGGAGCATGACTTAACCGGAGAGTAATGTCATCCATCATTAAATTCACTTTACGGCCGACTGTCATTAAGATATGATCATCCTCTCACTAACGATGAGACTTTTAATTCACCCTCTTCTTCTTCTTTTTAAATAAGTAAATTTAAAGGGTTTTAGAGATGAGCTTCAGAGCGCCACACTCTGATTTCCACGGCCACAATGACTCATTTCAACGACTGAACGGGGTACAGTAATGATGCCTCGCTGTTCAGCTGAGGCCCCCCCGCCCCCCTCCTCACTTTACACGCTGACAGCTTCTGGGAAAGCGGCGCCGATGTGAGAATCCATCTCGTATTCATGAGGACGAGTGCTAATATTTAATATTTCAGAGCGTAAAAACAGAAGGCGGCTCGTGCTGCGAGCTGCTGGTGTATTTGTAAACACTTCGAATTTATGGAAAGAAAAGCCGGAGTGTGACGAATCATGAACGAGCCGTCTGAGTGTTGATGCAGGCGTGTCTGTTTGCGATCGCCGTATTTGAGCGTCTGTTTTTCCTCCTCCTCCTCCTCGTCTTCCTGATCATGTTTCTTCTCCTCCAACTCCTCTGATGCTGTCTCTTACAAGTTCACATGTTGTCACACCTCCTGGCAAATTTAATTCTCATCTGTCACAGCTTCTCTCCTTCCTCCAAAAGACCCCGAGGCCATTACTGGAGGGAGAGAGGAACAGAGGAAATTGCTCCAAGTGTGAATGCGGCGATTGACTTTATGGTTCCCTGTGAGTATTACGAGGCTGAGCGACCTCTTTGTCCTTCGGAGCGCTCTTTCCGGCCAAACTGGTGTCAACGCGAAGAGACGAATGGTCGAATTCCATTTGTCGGCGGCGTAATGTCGCGTTAATGAACAGAAACCGTTTCCACCCAAATTAAAATTCATTTGCAGGCGGCTCCAGTGCATCTGGCGGCTACATTTCCATGAGCCAGACGGGGCTCAGGGGGCAGCACTTGAGGCGTTACTGTGCTTGTAATAACTGAATTAAAATTTTATTAGAAGCAGCTAATTTCAAGTGAAGAAAATTACTCTGACAAGGCGCACGGTTTCGGGGACACAGAGCGGAGGCGAGGCGGACGCATTAGAGAGTCCTTTCACTCTTCACGCTTCCGTATGTGACAGATTCATGCTGCCGAACATGAAATGAGTTCCTGAAGGTTACGCCGCATGTGTGTGAGTGTGTGACGGCGGGTTTTTAGCGTCTGATTGAATGCGTGTGATCAAAATGGTTCCATGAAGGATTAATGAGTTTATGAGGCGCATGAAACTCCGCTAAGTGGGTCGTGTTCAAACACGGCGCCTAAAGATTCACACACGGAAACATACGTTGAGGGTTAACCCTTCATCTACCGGTAATTATGACAAACCGAGCGGTGAATGAAAACCCGAGCCTCAGAGCAGAATCGGCGCGGCCTCCGCTCCCTCGTAGTTTGACTTTTACAGCTCATTTATTGTTCGGTTCAGACTCTCTGTGTCCTCAATTCCTGCCACAGCGGGCGGCTGCTTTCATCAAACAAGCTCTAATCAACTCGCTCCGCGCTCTGAACCAAATGGCAAAACATAAAGTTTGCTTCCAGTCTGTGAAGAAAGTTGAACATTTTCTCGCAGGAAAAGAAAAATAAATGTTTTTTTTTTCCACCCTAGAGGAGCTGATTCACGAGAAAACAGACCGAAAAAGAGGAAGGAGGAGGAAAGTGAGAAAAACATTCAAACACATCAGAGACTTACGCTGATGAAGGATTAATCCGCCGCTGAAAGTAGACCCCAAAAATGTCAACTCCAGCAACTTAAAGGTGTTGTAGTCAGGATCTGAGGAAGTTCCAGTTTTTAGGAGACATCTTGAATGTAAACTCTACCCCCCCAACCAGTTTTCCCCTCAGCTCCTCCTCTCCCCTCAAGCCCCGCCCACAAACAGACGCTCCTGCTCGCTCGTATCGTTCCAATTAAATTCAGATCTAATGCAGATAAATACTTCAGATCATTACAAATGGGGCCCAGTCAAGGTGAAAGTCAAAAGCATTGGTGCTACTGTAGATGCCAACAGACTACCAGCAAACACAATGTTTGCAGGACTTCTACAACGAGGATAAAGTGACATAGTCCAGGACCCGAGGGAGGACAGTTTAGCGATGGCGCTACAACACGCTACAGCAGGTCCGTTTGACAAGAAACACTTCTGTTACAGACACTTGTCTTACTTTGTTAAAGCGGTTTACCTGTCCAGCAGAAAGGTTACAGGGTCACCAAGATCCCCAAGCGTCCCCCATGGTTTATGTTGACCCGGCTTTTTAGCTCTTGTCCGGTCTACCTCCGTTTTAAGCGCCCGTTATTCCTCCAGAGTCTCCGGTATTTACCTCTTCTCTGGAGTTCAGGTCCATCAGACATGATAGAAAAGTGGAGAAGCTCAGAAATGAAGGTGTTCTTTGAGCGGAGGTGAGCTGAAGTCGTAGCTACAGTCACAGATTCTCACTTCATCTCCTCTCTGCTCACAGGAATCAGTGTTACACCAAGCTGTCTGTCAGTGTCTCTGTTCTGTCAGGCCTCACAGGAGGAAGAGGAGGAGGAGGAGGAGCGGCTCAGTTTCAGATGAAGAACAGTTTAAAAGAAGACGTACCTTCGACTAGAAAGATATCCTTTTTTTATTCAGGGGAGTGAGTCAGAATCAGATCTAGCAGGAGAATATTTGGAGGATTATTTCTGTCTGAATTCAGTCAGACTGACACTTCAAACCTCAGCGCTCTGAATTCTAACGCTAAAGTTTAAAGTCTGTTTTTGTGAAAGAAAAAAACAATCAAACTTTACGGAGAAATTCCAGGTAACGTTAAAGCGAAGAAACAGAGTGAGAACCTGAATGAAGACAGCAGAGTCGAAACGGGCGAAGTTTTAAGACAAAACAATTCAGATCTGTTTGTTTATAGTGTTTTCTGTTTGAGCCATGTTTTCATCTTGTTATCCAAATTTATGGGAATAAATGTTCATTAACAACCATTTTTTTTCCATGGCGAAGACAAGACGATTAGCTAAACTGACCCCTAACTTCCACCGCATCCAGAACGCCTCCGCTATAGAACGGCAGCGATTTTCGCCATGTGCCAATTCCTACTGGATGCATTTGTAAGGTGAATTTCATAGAATCGGAACGTTATCGTCCCCCATCGACGCTCGAGACTCAATGCCCAACTCTAATCTCACCTGTCACCTTAAACACATGCAGTTTCTTTCTGTAACAGTCAGTTTAGGAGTTGGTAAATGAATGCTGGAGTAATCCTCTTCGCCTCCATGCTTTCGATGTTGCACAGTTTCACTCTGACGGTGAGCTAACTCAAAGTTCAGCTCACCAAACGTACGAGTTCACATTCATAGTTAATCTTTCTAAATGTTGAACAAAGTTCAGGGTCTAAAACAAGAGTTTCTCTGAACTTCAGGGGCTGAATCAAGATCCCAGACTCCACCTCCTTCAAAGTCCAAAAAGTCAGAGAGAGAGAGAGAGGTTCATTTAGCCCTGCATAAGGAAATACATCACAAACTAAAAATTGTCTTCTCTTGACTGTGTTCCTGTCTGTGATGTCGGTGTTTGTTTGCTGCAGACCTGCTTTGATGTTTGTTTATTTCTCCTCCGTCAGCAGACTGGTTCTTCTTTCTGAACCTCTGGATTTCACGCTGCGCCGCGTTTGGATCGAGGAAACTAAAAACGATTTTTGGTCTGAAACTGAAAACTCGACACGCATCAGAAAATACAAGTTATTGACTGTTTGAGACAGCTCTTTAAATATTTAACACTTTTAAACCCAAGAAAAGGAAAAATGTGATGCAACCAGGACGATGTGACGCCGCGACCCGCGAGTCCAAACGAGCTCTTCACGTACAGGACACACGTACGTGAACAGGACGTGATTATCCTGCGTAGATATCAGAGCGGAGCTGGGTGTAAACACAACCTCCCAGTTTGGCTAAACTTAGAAAGAAGCTCAGGGGGGAGGGGAGACGAGAGAGGGACTAAATAATAGATACAGAAGAGCTTCCTGTCTCTCAGCTGGAGACGTACGGTCGAGACGCTTCAGACTCGGGAATCAGAGGTTTGATATCAGAGCTGAGATCAAGCGTCACGGCGTGCAGAGCAAGTGTCGTCATTTTCCACCTTAACGATCAGCGCCCAAGGAGAAAAGTGTTTCCATGTTAAACAATAAGAGACGTGTATTAAAATAAAAACATTCAGAGGAAAGAGGAGGGGGCAGCTCCACTAACAGGAAGAGCCTGCTGCATCTGGACACCGTTAATTACAGAGAAGAAGATTATCTGGAGACTTCCCGTGAGAGCGTGGCACCGGGACGCACAAGGAGGACGTTATTAAAGACAGTCACCAACATTAGAGAGAGAGAGAGAGAGAGAGAGAGAGAGAGAGAGAGAGAGAGAGAGAGAGAGAGAGAGAGAGAGAGAGAGAGAGAGAGAGAGAGAGAGAGAGAGAGAGAGAGAGAGAGAGAGAGAGAGAACTGACGGTATATGAAGACATGTTTGAACAGGGTTCAACTGGTGAGATCCGCAGAACTGCTCATGCAAACTAAGAGGACTTTGGGACCTCATTAAAACCATTTTATGATTTATTAAATACAAGACTAAACTAGAAACAACACAAACTTTCTTCAACAGGAAATGTCCAACTGAAAATAATCCAAAAACAACGAGAGTAGAAATCCAAAGAAACAAAAGACTGTGTGCATTCAGGGAAACGAGCAACAGGTGAGACAGACGACACACAGGTGAGACTCACGAGTGATTAAAACACGAGTGGCAAAATCCAAGGAACCAAAAAAATCACAGGAGACTCAGTGGGGATACCACACACAGAAGCATTGACACACATTCACAATGAACCAACTAAGAAACAGGGGAAGACAACGACTATATATACACACAGAGAAACGAGCAACGAGAGGCAGGTGAGACACAGACACAGGTGCAGACAATCACTAAGGAGGAAGAATAGAATAGAATATTCCTTTATTGATCCACCATGGGGGAAATTTTTTTGTCACAGCAGCATCACAGACAAAGTGCAAAAACGCAGTTATAAAAATAAAGATCCTAATATTAAGAACTTAAATAAATGTTTTAATTAAGAAAAAAAATAGAAAAGGAAAAAGGGAGAAGAAAAAATAAAACTATATACAATATACATGATTTAAGTACCAGAAAAAAGCAGTGGTCTGAGTCCAGTTTTATTGCAGTTCGTTGTAAAGTCTTATTGCAGAAGGGAGGAATGACCTGCAGGAATAAACTCCTACAAAATAAAACAGGAAACACTGAAAACTGATCATGAATAAAACACCTAAAAAAGGAGCGAACCAGGGTCGGACACAAACTGAAAACTCACAAGACAGGACGACAGGGGAACAGGAACAACAGGGCACAGAAACATTAGGAAAAATCACAAAGAAAACCAGAGAAAATCTGACTTAAACAGCACACATCATGACAAAATCTGCATTTTTACTTTGACGACAGGTCTAAAGTCCAGGACCGGGCAGGTTAGCATCAGCGTGGAGACGTCTGTTTGTATCTGCGGCACATGTGACTAAAGACAAACACTGTAAACTCAGTATTTTCTAAACTAAAGTGTGATATCTCAGAAACGCCCAGAGGGAGATCTTCAAATTTGGCACAGAGTCCACTCGGACTTGGAGAGTCTGAACAGATAGAAGGTCAAAGGTCGAACGCCTGCAGGGATTTTATTACGTCTAGTTTATTTATTTATTTCGTGTCTGTTGGAGTGAATAACGCCATTCCAATCCCCCACAGATAGATTCTGTAGAAACACACTGAGGCGGAAACTTTGATTTTTTTTCTTTTATTAATCTTCAATTTATGCAAAAACTCGTTTTTCAAACTATACGGAATAAACAGAAACCAAGAATCTGAATCTGAGTCCTGGTTTTTGTTGGATAGTTTTCAAAAGGAGAGGGTTACAGTTCCCGTCTGAGAAAGTTGATTTTTTTATGTTGAAAGAAGGATGTGTGTTTATACAAAAATCAGCTCAAGAGTTAAAAGGTTTCTGCTTTGCATTCTCGAGCAAAGAGGGTCAAAAAGAAGAACGTCCGAAGTCTTATCGTACACGACAGGAAGAGAGCCTCGCAGCAGCATCAGCTGATTATGACCCCCCAAAATAACCCAAAGACTCTGCAGCAAAATGTGCCTTCAGGGGTAATTATGCAGCTTCATATCATCCGAGAGAGAGAGAGAGCGAGAGAGAGAGAGAGAGAGAGAGAGAGAGATGCCTCCAGGCAAGGCCATGCAAAAAGAGAGAGGTCAGAGAGCTCAGAGGAGTCACATGTGAGTGTGGGTGGGATCTGGTGGGGGTTATTTGTATATCCACAGCTGTGATAGAGCAGAATATGGAAGAGTACAGTATCCATATGAAGCACCTGCAGCTAATTTACAGAATCAGGTCTCAAATATTCTTCATAGACGAGCGAAACAGTCTGAATATTCTGGTTTTACCGAGGAGCAGGATGGACGTCCCTCTCGTTCAGTTGTTCATTTGTATTTGACCACAGAGACTGTTTGGACGTGTTTTATGAGGACTGTAACTGTTTGAAAATGTCTCCGGGTCGTTGAGTTAAAGTTTTATGTGACTCTGTGTAATCACTCTCATGGTTTCTCTTGTTAAAGGCGTTATGAGTCAAAGAGGGGCTTCCAGGAGACCGAGGTTAAACAGATCACCCAGGACCTGTTCTGATGTGACGCGAGCTCGATGAGATCTGACTCCACGGCAATCAGGTAAAACTACATGTGCTGATTGAGACAGAAATGCAGTTTTTTTCTCTCTGTTTAAGAAATAATCCACGAAAAACACAAAACAATGAAAAGAAAATCAAATTTCAGTGACCTAAAACTGTTAAAGGATAGACAAAGCCTGAGACAGTGGAGTAAGGTTGAAGGTCTGGACCTTAAAGTTTAGGAGCTCCATCATTTGTGGACTACAGTCGAGTGTCATTGTTATTTTACAGGAGCACTCACAAGATGAACACCACGGTTTTATATCCACTTTTAACCGTCTGTTCAAGGTGGTTTCTTTGTATTTCAAGGTCATAGATAACGTTTGCACCTCAGACCAACAAACAGCTGATCTTCACTCTGAGGTCCATGGTGCAGATTTAAGTATACTAGAACAAGGTTCATCAGGACCATCATCAAGCTCTCCATCATGCGCACTCTCTCTCTCTCAAACACAGTTTAAAGGTGTTTTCAAACCCTAATAACTGCCGACTTTTAAAGCCGCCAACTTTTATACTCAAGGATGTTAATAAAGACAAAGTGATGTCTGTGTACACACAAATCAACTCAACTCAAACTTAATTTATAGAGCACATTTAAAACAACCAAATTGTTGTTCAGATTTAAAGCAGAAGGGATGATCAAAGTGCAATTACAGCAATTACAATAAATAAAATAAATACTAAAATACAGAAACATAAAACACAGTGCTGTAAAATAGAAATAAAATAGATTAAAACCTCAATCGATCCTGCAGAGCAGATACGCAAAGGCAGGTTGTTCCAAAGCCAGATGTTTTATTTTGTGTCTGTGCCCGACTTCCTTTCCAGCACGGATGAATCTGTGATGAATTTATCCGCCATGCTTCGGTGTCCAGAAAAAATAGAACTCCTGGAATTAGCTGAGGAGTCCGGGGATCCGCAGCAGAACAGAAGGAAGCCGGTGGAAATCGACACATTAACTTAAATGTTTACGATCATCTACGATTGGCTGATACGGACTTTTCATAGCTGTTCTGGATTCGGTGGAAATTGGGGGTAACTCCACTTAAAACATTTCCTTACTTGGTTCTAATACCGATATTTGCCCCGCCCCTTTTTTATACGGTATAAGCGTCGACCACATTGAGCCCATTACAGGTCATGACTCATTGACCTCATGATCATCATGGCCCAGAAACTTCCCAACGATCAGATTTGATTGGATTAAGATGAATGTCCCGCTGCGCCCTGACTGTCTTATTCTCAGACACAGACGTGAACTCATCCGGAGTCTCATGTTC